GTGCAATCGTGTATCCGCAGTGTGGAGGCTCCGGATGCACTTTATGATCTGGGAACAATCCGGTCATCGCTGAAAATTCCCCCCAAATCGCTCTGAGCGATTTGTGCGATACTTTCCTTCACTCATTGGTAATGCGAGTCGGGATCTGATGATGGCTTTCTGTGAATGTTAGTTATTCCCGTCTATAATTGGACTGGATATGGAACGATCGATTGTCCCAAGCAGAAACCTCGGCAAAAATCGGTGATCCCAGCGTGTCTCTGAAATACTGTACTGGATCATTCAGAGGCCTGGAGCGGGGAACTCCGTGTTTGTTCTGTAGCTTCGGTTTTCAGTCCGTGGGCTCAGTTTATGTCCTTTGCGCTCGGTTCTTGTGCTCGTTTCCTGTCCCTTTTGCGCTCTTCTTGCGCTCACTTCTTGTTGTTTGCGTTGTTTCCTGTACCTTTTTGTGCTCGGTTCTTGTCCCTTTGCGCTCGTTTCTTGTGCTCGGTTCTTGTCCCTTTGCGCTCGTTTCTTGTGCTTGGTTCTTATCCCTTTTGCACTTGGTACTTGCACCTTTTGAGCTCGGTTCTTTGTGCATTTTGTGCTTGGTTCTTGTGCTCAGTTCTTGTCCTTTTTGTACTTGGTTTCCTGTCCCTTTTGGTGCTCGGTCCTTGTGCTCGGTTCTTCTGCCTTTTGCGCTCAGTTTCCTGTCCTTTTTTTGCGCTTGGTTCTTGTGCCTTTTGCGTTCAGTTTCCTGTACCTGTTTGCTCCTTTTTTTGCGCTTGGTTCTTGTGCCTTTTGCGCTTGGTTTCCTGTCCATTTTGCACTCCGTTCTTGTGTGCTCAGTTTCCCCTTTTTGTGCTCTCAGTTTCCCTGTATTTTGCACTTTTTGTGCTTTTGTGCTCGTTTCCTGTACCTTCTTTCTTGTCCATAGGGGTCAGTTTTTGTCCCTTTTTTGTGCTTCATTCTTGCCGCTTTGTTCTTGTCCCTAGGGGGTCGGTTCTTGTTCCTTGTGCTCCGTTTTTGTCCCTAGAGGTCAGTTTTTGTCCCTTTGCGCTCGGTTCTTATCTCTAGGGGGTCAGTTCTTGCTCTTTGTGCTTGGTTTTTGTCCCTTTGCACTTGGTTCTTGTCCCTTTTTTTTTTTTTTTTTTTTTTTTTTTTTTTTTTTTTTTTTTAGCTCTATTTTTTTTTTTGCTCCTTGCACTTCCTTTTTTTTTATTGTCCCTTTTGCGCTCATTTTATGTCCCTAGAGGTCAGTTCTTGTCACTTTTGTGCTCATTTTTTGGCCCTTTGCGCCTGGTTCTTGTCCCTAGGGGTCATTTCTTGCTCATTGCGCTCCGTTTTTGTCCCTAGAGGTCAGTTATTGTCCCTTTTGCGCTTGTTTTTTGCTTCTTGCGCTTCCTTTTTTGTCCCTTTTGCGTTCGGTTCCTGTCCCTAGAGGTCAGTTCTTGTCACTTTTGTGCTCGTTTTTTTGCCCCTTTGCGCTCGGTTCTTATCTCTAGGGGTCAGTTCTAGTTCTTTGCACTCGGTTCTTGTGCCTTGGGGGTCGGTTCTCACCCAGTGGGCATCCTTTTTAATCTTGTGTCTAGTTTTTCTCCCATGGGCTCTGCCGTTTTTGAATGCTGCTCACAACTGGTTGACCCCCCCCCCCCCCCCCGCCCCTCGCAGTATGCTCGCTATCTGGAATACGTTTAAAGATTGCGCAGCCATATCCTGCAGCCCGACGTTTGTTAGTACATTGCTGGTTGCTCTTAGTTTGGGTCACATTTCTTCCTCCACAGAACTGCGACCTCCGGGGTCATCGTCCATTTTGTTGGGAAATCCCATCTTGTCCTGACCAGTGGATTGTGTCTTGTGCTGAGTGGGGTCCCATCCTCAGCGGGGCGGGGGGGGGACAGGCCCAAGCTGCGGACTAGTTCCTCTCTCTTCCCCTCGGGCTGCTGTCCAGGGAGGAGGACTGGGAATTTACATTCTCTAACCACTTCCTCACACATGTCTTCACTGGATCTGGACTGGAGCCCCACCAAGACGAAACCCACAACACAGGAAATGCAGATTTGACTTTGTCCTGTTTCCAGAGTGACATTCTACAGCTTCTCCTCTCAGCCTTCATTACAGAATATTATTTTATTTTTGTTTGTGTTTTATATTCTTGCTGTATCATATTTGCATGATTGAACTGCATCCATGAATACGAAGGCTCTCTTTCTACTGGCCGGTTGAATTTCACCGCAATTACTCTGATCAAAAACTGCCGAGATAAAACTTCAGCCAGGTAGACGGGTCGATGTGTTCAGTCTGTCTATGGTGGGTGATGGAGAGAGGAGCAGTGCGGCCCACGTACAAGCGGCAGACGGGACCTTCGTGGGATGAGCAAAGATGGCTGCCTCCATGTACATGTATGATCGTCGCATACTAAACCGCAAAGAAGATTTAAAATGAAAGAGATCCCTTGTCATATGTCTAGAAACCAATTCAAGATATTTTAATCGTTTATCCAATTTACATTTCTTTATTATTTTCCTTCTAATTTTATTTTCCTTTCTACGTTATTTTCTTTTCCGTTTATTTTCCTTTTTCCTTTTCCATTATTCTCCCCTCCTTTCTTTTTTTTTTTTTTTTCCCTGTTCCCATTTTTCTTTAATTTTTTTCCTTTTTTCTTAATCTTTTTCTTCTTCTTTCCCTCTCCATTTCCCTCTTCCTTTACCTTTTTTGTCTCCTTTTTATTTTATTTTTTTTCCTTTTTTCCTATTTTTTTTTTTTTTTTTCCCTCCCTTTCCTTTTTTCCCTTCTCTTTTCTGTCTCCTTTCCTCTTCCTTTTTTTCCCCTCCCCTTTTTTTTCGTCTCCTTTCATTTAGTTTTTTTTTTCTCCCCCTCCTTTCCTTTTTTGTTTCCTTTCCTATTTCCTTTTTTTTCTTTTTCCTTACCCACTTCCTTTTTTCTTTCCTTTCATTTTCCTTGTTTTTTCCTTTCCATTCCTTTTTTTTTTCCTTCTTGTATTTTTCCATTCCTTTTTAATCTATCCCTCTTCCTTTATTCCTCCTCCTTTCCCTTTTTCCATCACCTTTCCTTTTTTGTTTCCTTTCCTATTTCCTTTTTTTTCTTTTTCCTTACCCACTTCCTTTTTTTTCTTTCCTTTCATTTTCCTTGTTTTTTTTTTCCATTCCTTTTTTTCATCATTGCTTCTTGTATTTTTCCATTCCTTTTTAATTTATCCCTCTTCTTCCTTTATTCCTCTTCTTTTCCCTTTCCCTTTTTGTCTCTTTTTCTATTTCATTTTTCCTTTCCTTTTCCCTTTTTCCCCTCCTTTCCTTTTTCCCTTCTCTTTTTTGTCTCCTTTTCTCTTTGCTTTTTTTCCCCCTCCCCTTTTTCTGTCTCCTTCCCTTTTTTTCGTCTTCTTTCCTTTATTTTTTTTTTTCCCCTCCTTTCCTTTTCTGTTTCCTTTCCTTTCTGACTTCCTTTTATTTCTTTTCATTTTCCTTGTTTTTTCCTTTCCATTCCTTTTTTCATTCCTTCTTGTATTTTTCCATTCCTTTTTAATCTATCCCTCTTCCTTTATTCCTCTTCCTTTCCCTTTTTCCATCACCTTTCCTTTTTTGTTTTCCTTTCCTATTTCCTTTTTTTTCTTTTTCCTTACCCACTTCCTTTTTTTTTCTTTCCTTTTCATTTTCCTTGTTTTTTCCTTTCCATTCCTTTTTTTTCATTGCTTCTTGTATTTTTCCATTCCTTTTTAATTTATCCCTCTTCTTCCTTTATTCCTCTTCTTTTCCCTTTCCCTTTTTGTCTCTTTTTCTATTTCATTTTTCCTTTCCTTTTCCCTTTTTCCCCCTCCTTTCCTTTTTCCCTTCTCTTTTTTGTCTCCTTTTCTCTTGCTTTTTTTTCCCCCTCCCCTTTTTCTGTCTCCTTCCCTTTTTTCGTCTTCTTTCCTTTATTTTTTTTTTTTCCCCTCCTTTCCTTTTCTGTTTCCTTTCCTTTCTGACTTCCTTTTATTTCTTTTTCATTTTCCTTGTTTTTTCCTTTCCATTCCTTTTTTCATTCCTTCTTGTATTTTTCCATTCCTTTTTAATCTATCCCTCTTCCTTTATTCCTCTTCCTTTCCCTTTTTCCGTCACCTTTCCTTTTTTTTTCTTCCTTTTCCCCTTTCTCCTTCCTTCCGTTTTTTTCTTTCCTTTCCCTCTTCCTTTCCTTTCATTTTCCTTTTTTTCATTCCTTCCTGTTTTTGTTTTGTTTTGTTTTTTTTTTTTTATTTCTTATTTTCCTTTTCTTTCCTTTTTTTTTTCCCTTGTCTTTTCCCTTTCTTGCTTTCCTTTTTTTTACTTTTCCATTAATTTTTTTTTTTTTTTTTTGTTATATGGGACAAAGTGGACAGAGTAGGGTTACCTAACACAACATTATGTCTTTCTATCTGCATATCTGGTAGTGTCGCATTCCCTCCATAGATATTTAGACGGCAAAAATAAATTGGGCAGATGTCACTGCAGAATCGGAGATGAGACTTTGAGGGAAATTGAGAGTCTCTTCATGGTAGAACCCAACCCCCCCCCCCCCCCCCCCCCCCCCCCCCCAACGCACACTCACTCGAATTCCCTTGCTCTAGCTGTAAATGTTTTCTTTTGTGCCCAGGGACCCGCTAAGCCCTCGGCACACTTATAGGTAAGTATTGGCTCTGGCTGTAAGCTGTAGGTTGGCCCGCTGACTCCTGTGCCAACCAATCGGACCTTGAGTATGATGACCACGCTTTGTAACCAGCAGCTAACAGCACTATAGGGTGTCCCAACCTTGGACTTGGTTTCTGGAAGTCAGTGTTTGGACATCCTCTTATGTGGAGTTTTGGAGCTCCAGAAAGGGGTTGAGATGTTCTCCTGGTTGCCTTTCATGAGTGAGTTGCAAATGTTTTTAACTGGAAAGGTTACTCTAGGTCATCTTCAAGGCATGAACGATAAGACCCAACCTCGCCGTAGCAGTTTTGTTACTATTAGGCAACACTGGGTCATCTTTTCTCTTTTTTTTTTTTACAGATTTTTTGATGACCTGGAGAAGCGGCACAAGGACAACCCCTTCATCCACGACATCAGTGACATTGTGGAGAGCCATGCGCTGAACCATTTCCAGCCGTACGTCATCTACTGCTCCAACGAGGTCTACCAGCAGAGGACCCTCCAGAGGCTGCTGTAAGTGGGGGGGCACTCTTAGATCCTTTCTGGATCTCTGTCCCCACCCCCCATCGGTCACCAGGTGACTTAGCCAATAGTTGGAGGCAAATTAATTTTCTAATGTGGAGGCCGGTATTCTTGGTCCACAGCACAGATGACATTACGTGGAATGATCTGACTCCGTATGCATTTTTATGAAGTTCAGATGGAGCCTCAACGCCATAACTGCTTCTACCCATAAGGCTGTGCACCACATCATTGATAGGGAGCCTTTACATCACTTAGACCCAACCTCCGGCCTTCCCTTCAGTCTTGGACAGTTATACAGGCTCCTCCCCTCCAGTCTTGCGCAGGTGTACCGGCTCCTCCCCTCCAGTCTTGCGCAGGTGTACCGGCTCCTCCCCTCCAGTCTTGCGCAGGTGTACCGGCTCCTCCCCTCCAGTCTTGCGCAGGTGTACCGGCTCCTCCCCTCCAGTCTTGCGCAGGTGTACCGGCTCCTCCCCTCCAGTCTTGCGCAGGTGTACCGGCTCCTCCCCTCCAGTCTTGCGCAGGTGTACCGGCTCCTCCTTTTCCTCCCCAGTCTGCGAGGTGTACCGGCTCTCCTCCCCTTTCAGTCACTGAACTCCAGTCTTGCGCAGGTGTACCGGCTCCTCCCCTCAGTCTTGCACAGTTGTGCATTAGAAGCTGCAGAAAGTCTGATAGAGCTCCGCCTCTATTTGAGGACACCCAGTATCGGCTAGCTCTTTCCTCCCCAGCCTGACTGTCTCTGGCCCGCCCCTTTCATTCACTGGAATTCAGTTCTGTCAATCGTAGACGCTCTGCATCACATGTAGGCGTTACCTAGGATGGTCTGCATGCAAATACAGCCTGCCAAGGAACGCCCACTTCTCCAGACTGACATCCACCCAGCAAGACATGTTGACATTTGCATAACTCCTCCCAGGAGCCAGCCCACTGTTTGTATCAGGGATGATGGCTCTTAAGAGTAGTGCTGAGGCAGAGTGCCGGACTCTCCCACCAGCCATGATCTGCCTGTAATGCATAGAGAAGCACAGAAACCCAGTAATGGCATCACTGGAATTAAAATAAAGCATGTCATGAAAATAGAAAGTTTTTTTTATTTAAAAAAATAATTATGTTGATAAGCGGGAGTGAGGGAAAACAAAATATAAAAAGATTAACTCTAGTGACCTGTTGCAGCAAATCGATCTGGGAAGTGAGTCACAGGATCTCTGGTGGTAAGTCTCCGAGCTCAGAGAGCGAATACCATCCCCTATAGATCCCGAAACTGCATTTTAATTTAACACCATTTACCAGTTTTCAGATGTGTTGTCTACATTTTTTTTTTTTTTTTCCCGAGCGTTTGTTACTTTGTCAACTAGTGATCCTGCCAAGGCACTACAGAACACCTCCCTCTCCTTACCTCCATAAAATAGGGAGGCGTTCTGTAGTCCAGCACGGCTGACAACCATGCTTGAGATTTCAGTGCAGCAGAGGCAGCGTTGTCAGATAACTACAGGAAGTTAGAAGCTCCCTGGATTTCTGGCAGGATCGGCAGGTAGTTTTCTGGGTTTTCCAACATTTTTAACCTCTTTCTGATAGCAGAACTACTGCTACAGGGTGGCAGGGCTGCGCAAAATCACGTGTGTGTGTGTATGGTATGTAATATTGTGTGTATGTAATAAAAAAAAATAAAATGTGTGTGTAATATATTACAGTTGAATGTATTTTTACACTTCAGCCGCCTTAAGCCTAGATCAGCAGGTAGCTTAGAGAAGGAGAGGTTGCCCACCAAACCTGTCCACTGTTCTGATGGGGACTTTACATTTCTATCTCTGTCATTTCAGATCCACGAACGTGGCCTTTAAGGAAACGCTGACCCAGATCCAGATGAAGCCGGAGTGCGGAGGCCTGCCAATGATTTCTTTTCTCATCCTCCCCATGCAGAGGGTCACTCGGCTCCCTCTGCTGATGGATGTGAGTACTGCATTAACTGGTCCAATTTCTGCTACATCCATTGTCCAGCATGACGTACACCGTGGGCAGGGCTGTCTTAATGCATGGGCACTGCCCAGGGGCCCTGACTGCATGGGGACCCCATGATAATTTGCATTATATCATATCATAATTGCCAACTGTTCCAGATTAAGCTGTCCTGAATTGGCCATGTCCTGGGCAGTGTCCCAGAACCTTTACTGTGTCCTCTGGACCCCCCCCCCCCCCCCCCCCCCCCCCCGTTAATGGTGTGCCCACCTGATCCCCTTCTGTACTGTGCCCTTCTACCTACCCCCTGTATTGTGCCCTCCTGATCCCCTCTGTACTGTGCCCTTCTACCTTCCCCCTGTATTGTGCCCTCCTGATCCCCTTCTGTACTGTGCCCTTCTACCTTCCCCCTGTATTGTGCCCTCCTGATCCCTCTCTGTACTGTGCCCTTCTACCTTCCCCCTGTATTGTGCCCTCCTGATCCCTTCTGTACTGTGCCCTTCTACCTACCCCCTGTATTGTGCCCTCCTGATCTCCCTCTGTACTGTGCCCTTCTACCTTCCCCCTGTATTGTGCCCTCCTGATCCCTCTCTGTACTGTGCCCTTCTACCTTCCCCCTGTATTGTGCCCTCCTGATCCCCTTCTGTACTGTGCCCTTCTACCTACCCCCTGTATTGTGCCCTCCTGATCTCCTCTGTACTGTGCCCTTCTACCTTCCCCCTGTATTGTGCCCTTCTACCTTCCCCTTCTGTATTGTGCCCTTCTACCTACCCCCTGTATTGTGCCCTCCTGATCTCCCTCTGTACTGTGCCCTTCTACCTTCCCCCTGTATTGTGCCCTCCTGATCCCTACTGTGCCCTTCTACCTACCCCCTGTATTGTGCCCTCCTGATCTCCCTCTGTACTGTGCCCTTCTACCTTCCCCCTGTATTGTGCCCTCCTGATCCCTCTCTGTACTGTGCCCTTCTACCTTCCCCCTGTATTGTGCCCTCCTGATCTCCCTCTGTACTGTGCCCTTCTACCTTCCCCCTGTATTGTGCCCTCCTGATCCCCCTCTGTACTGTGCCCTTCTACCTTCCCCCTGTATTGTGCCCTCCTGATCCCCCTCTGTACTGTGCCCTCCTACCTACCCCCAGTGAAGAAAGACAAAACAGAGGGCGCACAGGCCTAGTGCATTACCATAAAAAATGTTTAATAACAAATAAAGTAGGTGTTGTACTCACAAACGACAATAAAGTCAAGGCACATCATAAAGAACAGCTGGGTCAACACCGCGCTGGGTAACAGTCCGCAATAGGAAGTTTAGACATCCAAGAGCCTGACGCGTTTCGAGGACTTGCCTCTTCCTCAGAGCCACTTGGGTTATTTTGTTTTTTTTTTTATTAAAAAGATAACTGAATACATTTTGGCGAAGTTTTATGAAGAAAGATTTATTTGCAAAATGTTATAAGAAAAACACCTTTTTATTTTCTCAAAATGTTTGGATAGATAAACAATTCATATATATATATATAATCTCAAATCCCAGTGGTAAATAAATACCACCAAAAATAAAGGTGAGTTTTATCTGCCTCAAAACAAATGCTAAACAATTCATATGGGTACAGTGTTGCATGACCGCGCAATTGTCATTCAAAGTGTGATAGCGCTGAAAGCTGAAAATTGGCCTGGACTGGAAGGGGGGAAAGTGTCCGGACTGGAAGGGGGGAAAGTGTCCGGACTGGAAGGGGGGAAAGTGTCCGGACTGGAAGGGGGGAAAGTGTCCGGACTGGAAGGGGGGGAAAGTGTCCGGACTGGAAGGGGGTGAAAGCGTCCGGACTGGAAGGGGGGGAAAGTGTCCGGACTGGAAGGGGGGGAAAGCGTCCGGACTGGAAGGGGGGGAAAGCGTCCGACTGGAAGGGGGGAAAAGTGTCCGGACTGGAAGGGGGGAAAGTGTCCGGACTGGAAGGGGGGGAAAGCGTCCGGACTGGAAGGGGGGGAAAGTGTCCGGACTGGAAGGGGGGGAAAGCGTCCGGACTGGAAGGGGGGGAAAGTGTCCGGACTGGAAGTGGTTGAGTAAATCCCCCCCCCCCCCCATTGCTTTCAAAATCGGCAAAATACCACGTTATGGCCACTTGGTGGCGGTGCTGATTCCAGGAAATAAACATGTCAGGCGAAATAGATGGATTATTTGTGATGTCTGTATGAATGCCTCATAATTCTGTAGAGCGATTTGATTTTTTTTTTTTTTTTTCCCATGGTCCCTATGGGGGAGATTTACTAAAATTGGAGCACTTAGAATTTGGTGCAGCTGTGCATGGGAGCCAATCAGCTTCTAGCTTCTGCTTGTTCGATGAAGCTTTCGCTATAAAACCTGGAAGCTGATTGGTTTCTATGCAGAGCTGCACCAGAATTCGAAACCGGTTTTAGTAGATAACCCCCAATATGTATGTTTTTGTCCTTTTTGATATGTAATTTAGTTTCTTTTTAGATCTTAATGTGTTTTGTGTCCCATTCTGTAGACGATCTGCCAGAAGACGGACATGTACTCCCCAGAGTATGAAGCCAACACCCGGGCACTGAAAGCCATCAGTAAGGTAAGTCTCTGAGCCGTCTAGTAAATGCATCCTATCCTGTATACATTGGAGCTTTTTCATGAAGGCAAACAGACTCTGCACTTTGCAAGTGCAGTTGCTCCAGAGCTTAGTAAATGACAGGGATGCTCTGCTGACTTTCATCACCCAATCAAATGCAGAACAAAAATGCTGCTTTTTTTTTTTTTTTTAATTTCCTTGTATGTGATTGGGTATTCTTTGCAAAGTGAAGCTTCGCCTCATTTACTAATCTCTGTGGCACCACTTGCAAAGTGCACAGTCTGCCTTTAGTGAATAAATTCCCATGTATGATATTCCATTCATTGGGAGATTATGACTCTAAGCCAGGGGCGGAGTGACCATTTGGAAACTCTGGCACTGCCCGAGGGCCCCGGGGTCAGTAGGGGGCCCCATGAGATGCCCCTGGTATCCTTTTTCATAGGCTTTTTTGAGTTTGGGCAAGGACACAGGGGCCCCATGATCCCCTATTGCCCGGGGGCCCCAGGGGCGAACTGACTATTTGGAAATTCGGGCACTTTCCGAGGGCCCGGGGTCAGTAGGGGGCCCCATGAGATGCCCCTGTACCTTTTTCATAGGCTTTTTTGAGTTTGGGCAAGGACACAGGGGCCCCATGATCCCCCTATTGCCCGGGGGGCCCCATGAGTTGTCAGTCCGCTCCTGCTCTAAGCCCGGGTTCACGTATATGCGGAGCGGTATATCGCATGTGATTCGCAGAGAAACTGCACCGCATTCCTGTACATATCACACGCGATTTGTGTGCAGTGCGATCGGAGCCGTATATTTTGGATTTCTCTATTTGCACTGTACCCGCACCAAAAAGGTGCAGGACCCTTTTTTGGGTCCACACTAGAATCGAATTGCATGGGTATTCACACCTATGCGATCCGATTCTGCACATCGCACCGCGTTTTGCAGACCGATTTTGGGGTGTTGTTAACCCCTTCACGCCGGCGCCTCCCGGCCCTTTAAGAGTTTCAGAAGGTCACATGATCGGGAAAGGTCCTGATCGAAAGAGGAGATTGGGACCTTTCTGTGAGTACCGGACATGTGTGCTGGGAGCGCTCTCAGCACATATGGTCTTTTTTAATAGAACGCAAATGTGCGGTCCGCTCGGCGTCTAGGCCCAGAGGCCAGGAGTTTGCACATTTGCGTTCAGCCGGCGTGCAGAGGTTAACATACTCACCCGCAGTGATTGGCATGAACGGGGTGCGATTTTGATGCGGTGCGGAATTCGCACAGAAAACGCTGCAAATTCCGCACCGCATCAGTGTAAACCCGGGCTAAAGGTTTCCCCTACCACTGATAGATCATCAGATCTCTCCCAGCAGACTCAAATGGGTAATTTTTTGTGGATTTTTTTTAAATCTTCTGTTTCTAGTTGGTAAAGCAATGCAACGAGGGGGCGCGGAAAATGGAGAGGACAGAACAGATGTACACGCTGCAAACCCAGCTGGAATTTGGGAAGATAAAGGTAAGGAAAAAGATATGTTATATGTATATATGTGTGTGTGTGTGTGTGTGTATATACATAAAATATACTTCACCTCCACATTCTCCAAGATACGGCCGTTCCTAACCACGGAAACCACTAAGCAACTTATTCCCTCCCTGGTTATATCTCGCCTTGACTATTGTAACTCCCTCCTCATTGGCCAACCTCATCGCAGGCTATCCCCTCTTCAGTCTATCATGAATGCTGCTGCCAGACTCATCCACCTTACTAACCGTTCTGTATCTGCCACCCCTCTCTGCCAATCCCTCCACTGGCCTCCACTCAGTGGTCCTCCACTCAGTGTCCTCCACCCCTCTCTGCCAATCCCCACTCCACTCAGTGTCCTCCACCCCTCTCTGCCAATCCCTCCACTGGCCTCCACTCAGTGTCCTCCATTCCTCTCTGCCAATCCCTCCACTGGCCTCCACTCAGTGTCCTCCACCCCAGTCTCTCCACTCTCTCTGCCAATCCCTCCACTCAGTGTCCTCCTCCCCTCTCTGCCAATCCCTCCACTGGCTTTCCATTGCCCAATGGATAAAATTCAAAACATTAATAATAACGTATAAAACCATTTATAACTCTGCCCCAAATTACATCACCAATCTTGTCTCTAAATATCGCCCAAACTGTACTCTCCGCTCCTCGCAAGACCTCCTACTCTCTAGCTCCCTCGTCTCCTCCTCCCATGCTCGTCTCCAGGACTTCTCCAGAGCTTCCCCCATCCTCTGGAACTCTCTACCTAATTTATTAGACTATCGCCTACTCTGCTCACTTTTAGGCGATCTCTGAAAACCTCTCTCTTCAGGGAAGCCTATCCTGTCCTCAGCTAATAATGGAATCTTCTACTCTTCCAACCAGTCCATCCCCCACAGTTACTACCTTTTGTACCACGAGCCCCTCCCTCTTAGATTGTAAGCTCCAAGGATCAGGGCCCTCCTATCCTTCTTGTATTGAACTGTATTGTTGCTGTATTGTCTCCCGTTATATTGTAAAGCGCTGAGCAAACTGTTGGCGCCATAAATCCTGTATAATAATAAAATAATAATTTTATTTATATATATATATATATATATATATATATATATATATATATATATATATATATATATATATAATAATATATAAAAATTTGGAAGGGTCATGTTATGAAATATTATTCCGTTACCTGGATGACCCGTTGAACCTCCGAAACACGTTGGCTTTTCTATGATGGGAGGCTGCACTTTCTACATTCTGCGTTTGGTGTTCTCCTCTGCCTTGTACCCCCAGGTTTGAATTGCTGTCTGTGTTCACCACTTGGGAGATTGACTCTCCTGATTTGGTGACCGTTGTCACTGGAGCAGAAAGTAATTGGAAACTCCTCACAGTTGTCACCGAAGGAGGAGCAGAGGGGAACTTTCTTCCAGTTGGGGTTGCGTGTTCCAGCTCTATAATAAGGGATTTCCCCCAGTTTTTTCCTCTCACTTCCCGTTGGATCATAAGGATAGAAAATGAAGGGGAAATGCTTTTTGTAGCAAATGTATAAACTGCCATCCCCCATGACAACTGTTTAATTGTCCTCCGCACAGGCGGAGAAGTTTGGGAACGATTTCTGATTGGTCAATGTCATTGGCTGGCTCCGCCCATATAAGCTTGTTGGCCTATACTGTGTTTATTCTTAAAAAAAAAAGGAAATTTTTTTTCTTTCCCCGAACTCAGCCCTTCCCTCTGATCTCCGCCTCCCGCTGGCTCCTGAAGAGAGGTGAACTCATCCTGGTGGAAGAATCCGGAATCTTCCGCAAAGGCTTCGGAAGGCCTTACTACTACCTCTTCCTATTTAACGATGTCCTCATCATTACGAAGAAGAAGAGGTAACTGAACAGAACATTTATACTTTAACCCCTTTGTGACCGCTTCATGCATATATGTGGCGGTGCGACAGGTGGGCCTGAGCACCCAGCTATTCGCTGTCTTGTTGTGGGGCGCGCCCTATCTTGGCCCCTAGAACCTGGCAGAGCTTTCAACAGCTTATGGACCATTACTGACAATCATTGAATGGTAAGCATTGCTCCCAATGATGTCCACGTTGTGCAGCCAGTTGGGGTACAGCAAGATTGGGAACCCCACTTACCAGCTCCGATAATGGGTGGGGTGGTGGTAAGTAGTGATGGTGGCGGAGTGGGTGGTGGGAAGTAGTAGTGGAGGTGGAGGGTGGTGATAAGTAGTCGGGGTGGGGTGGTAAGTATTGGGTTTGGTGGGTGTGGGTGGTGGTAAGTAGTGGTATGTGGTGATGGAGGAGTGGGTAGTGGGATGGTGGTGATGGAGGGTTGGGTGGTGGGGGTGGTAAGTGGTGGTGTGGCAATGGTGGTGGGGGTGATAATGGGTGGGGTGGTGGTAAGTAGTGATGGTAGTGGTGGCAGAGTGGGTGGTGGGAAGTAGTAGTGGTGGTGGGGGCTGGTGGTAAGTAGCGGTGGTGGGGTGGTAAGTATTTGGTTTTAGTAGCATGAGTGGTGGTATTGGTGGTGTGGTGGGAGAAGTGGGTGGTGGTAAGTGGTGGTAGGATGTTAAGTAGTGGTTTTGGCAGAGTGGGTGGTGATGGTATGCGGTGGTGGAGGAGTGGGTAGTGTGGGTGGTAGTGGTGGAGTGGGTAGTGGGGTGGTGTGGTGGGGTGGTAGTGGTGGAGTGGGTAGTGGGGTGTGGGGTGGTGTAGTGTGGGGTTAGGTAGTGGGGGGTGGGGTGGGGTGGGGTTTTTTTTTTTTTTTTGGTTTTGTTTTTTTTTAAAGGCTTTTCAAAAACTGTAATGCAGTCATGTTGGGTGACTGTTATAGACCCGAGCGGGGATGTTGGGTGGCTGTTGTAGACCTGAGCGGTGATGTTGGGGTAACTGTTGTGTTGTAGACCTCGAGTCGTCATGTTGGGTGGCCGTTGTATACCCAAGCGGTGATGTTGGGTGACCGTTGTAGACCCGAGCGGTGATGTTGGGTGACCGTTGTAGACCCGAGCGGTGATGTTGGGTGGCTGTTGTAGACCCGAGCGGTGATGTTGGGTGGCTGTTGTAGACCCGAGCTGATGTTGGGTGGCTGTTGTAGACCCGAGCGGTGATGTTGGGTGGCTGTTGTAGACCCGAGAAGTGATGTTGGGTGGCTGTTGTAGACCCGAGAAGTGATGTTGGGTGGCTGTTGTAGACCCGAGAAGTGATGTTTTGGGTGGCTGTTGTAGACCCGAGAAGTGATGTTGGGTGGCCATTGTATACCCAAGCGGTGATGTTGGGTGACCGTTGTAGACCCGAGAAGTGATGTTGGGTGGGTGTACCGTTGTAGACCCGAGCGGTGATGTTAGGTGACTGTTGTAGGCCCAAACAGAACAGTTCTTGGTGGAGTTTTTTTCAGGTCCTGTACCTCTGATCCATTTGGAGTAACAATTTGTTTTATCATCCTCTAACCCCCAGCGAGGACAGCTATCTGGTGACGGATTATGTGACGACAGATCAGTACGCCATTGAAATGATGGATGATGGAGAGGGTGTGATGTCTCCCTTAGCAAAGTCGGGGACCCTTGGAAACCGAAGTCCGGCTGGGCCCTATGTGTTTCCAGATAGCCATGAGGAAATCCAGCGAGGGGCGGGGCAGGAGCCATATGTGCTGGGAACAGACACGCTGTGAGTATTTGCTGGAGAAGTTCTGGGTAATGGCAGCGGATGGACTTAAACGTGCCCCAGCTCATTCACCCCATTCCCTTCTCTGTGTAATCTGGGGATCCTGGAATACGCCTGCTGGTGATGCCGGAACACCCTCCTCGCAGGAAGAAAGTTGCACAGCCGTGTTAACTTTTGAAAGCGGTATTAAACCCCCAAAAATGTAATATATTGCAGCTTACCAATAATTCGATGTGGCGGCTGCATTCGTTTTCTTTTTTTAGTGGGGGCTTTTTTCCCTCTCTGTTCACCTTGTGGTCTGGGCCAATAACACACACCTCCTGTGTTAGAGACACAGCACCCCCCACTCTGGATGAAGGAGCACAGGGGGCACCTTTGGACAGCAGCATTGTCAGTCTGGAGGGAGGGGAGTATTAGATGGACTAGCACAGGGGGTGGGCAACTGTGGCCCTCCAGCTGTTGGTGAACTACAAGTCCCATCATGCCTCTGCCTTTGGGAGTCATGCTTGTAACTGTCAGTTTTTTAATGCCTCATGGGACTTGTAGTTTCTACAACAGCTGGAGGGCCACAGTTGCCCACCCCTGAACTAGCAGATGCAAATACACTAAATTAAACGGAAGTTTTAACTCAATCTACACTGCAGTTAACAGTGAACAGGTGTTTTTTTTTTTTTTTGTTTTTGTTGTCATAAATTAAAGCTGATCGTTGTAAGCATCCCTGTCAGTGGTAAATGGTTTGTCTCATCCCTGTAACTGACACATCTGCAGGACAGCTTGTTCTGTTAAAAAAAAAAAAAAAAAAAAAGACTTGCTGGCCAGATCACCATATGAAAATGGATGAAAGAAAGCCATAAAAAAATAAAACGAATGCAGCCGTCGCTTGGTAAGCTGCTATATAATATTTTGCTTTTTTATTTTCGGTTTAGCACCACTTTAATTCTGCGGCATTATTTTTGATTATTGGCACAGCTGCAGTTAATGGCTGGCTGATCGCTGTCACTCATTGCTGGAGTTTTGCCCTTTATATCAAGCCCGACTTTGAAATCGTGCGACTTGCAGTGAAGTCACGCGATTTTCAAAATCGTGGAAAATGCCGATTTTCAGGTGCGATTTTGCAAGACATCTGACGCAGAGGTCTACGCAAATCGCACCGAAAGTAGCGTGTGTACTCCTTTAGAAATCTGTGCGGCTCCGACCAAGACGGAACCGCACCGATATGACCGCTGTGACTGCGGACAGTAAGGTGCAACTTAGCATGCGATTTTGTTAGTCACCTGGCATGCAAATCGCATGCCAATTCGCATCCAGTGTGACCGGGGTGTTCGGTCACCGATCACGCCGCCGCTGCAAATATTTAAAATCGCTGCAATTTTTAAAGATACTTGTTAGCTGCAAATTGCAAGAAATTGTTGAAAAGTTTCAATACGATTTCCATTGTATTCTATGTATGTAATAAGTCGCAACAAAACTACAGAAAAAAGTCACACAAGAAATCACAACTGCAGTAAATTGCAAATGTTGAAGACATTCACATTCATTAGGTGCAATTTCAGGTTTCAGTTTTTTATTTCTTTTTTTTTTCATACTAGGGCCAATTTAGACAGGAGCCAATAACCTACCAGCATGTCTTTGGAGTGTGGGAGGAAACTAGAGTACCCGGAGGAAACCCACGCAGGCACAGGGAGAACATGCAAACTCCAGGCATTTGGTAGTTGGGATTTTGAAACCAACGACCCCAGTACTGCCGGGCGAAAGTTGCTAACCATTTAGCCACTGTGCTGCCCTACTGCTGTGCTTTTCTGCGAAACAAATGCAGGCGTGAACCTAGAAAAGGCTACCATTCACACCTGAGCGAAATCATTTTTTTAATTTGTATTTTTTTTTAGGGGGCATTTGGGTGTTTTTTTAGAGCGTTTAGTGTACAGCGTAAAAGTGTTTTTGAACTTTGGCATTTTTTTTTTTTTTTATATTAGCCAGTAGAGAAATTTATCATCGTTTTCATCATTTGTTATGTTCTTCAGCTTTTTCATTAATATCGTTTTTTTATTTATTTTTTTTTAAGTCTTATTATTTTAGTATTTATTTTTTTTATTATTTATTTTGCTAGGTTAAGCGTTGGGGACGAAAGTTAGGCAGGTTTTTTGAAAATTTTTTGGGTTTATTGGGGGGGGGGGGGTATTAGCCCTTAGAGAAATTATCATCTGTTTCATCATTTTGTTACTATGGTTTTCTGCTATTTTATATTCCGTTTTTATTCATTTTTTAAATATTATTTAGGTTTTTTTTTTTTTTATACTTATTTGCTAGGTTAGGAGTGGGGGACGAGGTTAGGGGTTAGTATTAAGGTTTATTTATACCTTTTATGATATGATATTTTATATATAATAAAAAATTAATATATTATATTATGTATTGTACATCATTTATTATTTATTTATTTTTATTTAATTAATTGCACTTTTCTGTTCATTCCTATGGGAAAAAAAATGCTTAAAAAAAATGCACCAATCTGCACGACTTCTAACTACAAAAAAAGCTCCAGAACCTTTTTTTTGCATCAGCTAATTGGCTTTCAAGTGACTGGGAGTATTTCTGAGTCACTGATTCGAATATCCTGTGTACTACCTACCGGTCATTATATACGAATCAGTGATCCATTCTTCATGTGCTGCATGCTTTTTTTTTTTTCCCAGGTTGGTGATTTGGAACTTAGGGAAGACACCCGAACACTTGGACAAACTTACTCATACTTGTAATCTGTTTGCAGGAGTGACCGGGGCCCGATGGATCACACTGCGCTGGAGGTCAGGGAAGAAAATAAGAGATATAGCAAGTCCAAGACCATAGAGGTAAAGAGAAAACGGGGACCAGGTTGCTTACTGGAAGCTTGCAGGGAGAGGTTAGTGTCCAACAAGGTCATATAGGTGTTGATGGTCAGGTGTCCAACAAGGTCATCACATAGGTGTGATGGTCAGGTGTCCAACAAGGTCATATAGGCGTGATGGTCAGGTGTCCAACAAGGTCATATAGGCGTGTGATGACCCAGGTGTCCAAACAAGGTCATATAGGTGTAGAATGAGCAGGTGTCCAACAAGGTCAAGATAGGTGTGATGAGCAGGTGTCCAACAAGGTCATATAGGTGTGATGAATGGTCCAACACAGGTGTAACAAGGTCATATCTATATAGGTGTGATGAGTCAGGTGTCCAAACAAGGTCATAATAGGTGTGATGGAGCAGGTGTCCAACAAGGTCATATAGGTTGTGATGAGCAGGTGTCCAACAAGGTCATAAGGTGTGATGAGCAGGTGTCCAACAAGGTCATATAGGTGTGATGAGGCATTTTGGTTGTCCAACAAGGTCATATAGGTGTGATGAGCAGGTGTCCCCAACGAGGTCATATAGGTGTGATGAGCAAACTTGGTTGTCCAACAAGGTCATATAGGCAATGTTATGTCAGGGGCTGTCCAACAAGGTCATAAAGGTGGTGATAGTCAGATGTCCACAACAAGGTCATATACTGTAGGCATGATAAGCAGATGTCCAACAAGAGTCAATAGGCGTGAATAATTACAGGTGTCCAACGAGGTCATAGTAGGTAGAAAGGTCAGGTGTTCAAACAAGAAAATATTAGGCCATGATGAAATAGGTTCTCCCGCACAGCCATAGCTATGATGGTCCCAGGATCCTCTTAAAAGGTCACCATAAAATGTGAAAGGACAAGGGTTATCAACCAAGACCCATATAGGAGATGATTAATGGTTGCTCCGAGCAAAGCCATAAAGTTGTGATAAAGAGAGGGTGTCCCAACAAAAGTCACAACAGGTGTGAAGGTCTCATGTGTCCAAAAAGGTCATCATAAAGGTGTGAGGCATCCAAAAAAAATATAGTTGAAAATGATCAGAGTGAGAGAAACAAGGCCATATAGAAGTTCCTCCAGCAAAGCCAAAGGTGTGGAAGGTCAGGTGTCCAAAAAAAAATTAAGGATGATGAATGGTTGTTCCAGACAAAGCCAAATAGCTTTGAAAAAACAAAAAAAAGAAGTTCATATAGATGTGAAGGTCAGGTGTCCAAATGAGGCCATATAAAGGTGTGAGGTTCAAGCTTCCAACAAGGTCCAATATAACTGGTGTGATGTTCAAGTGGCCAGAGATAATCCGGTGTCCCAATACATACAGTATATTGGATGTGAGGGTCAAAGTGTTCATGATGATCACATCCACATGTTCCACTGAGGAATACAAAATCTGTAAACAATAGTTTCCCTTTTAGAGTTTTAGATTCCCTGGAAATAAAAAGGAACAGACCAGTATGGAGAGGTGTCCCGGATATTTGCTGCGGAGAAAGAGAGAGGTTGGAATGGATTTGATGACTACTGTCATTTCTAATCGTCTCTCAGATTCTAAATCCTCTTCTCTAGGATTGCGAAAGGAAAGGTGGAGATCACACAAAGGCCTACATGAGACAAAACAACAAACAAGACGAGGTCCTCTGACAGCAAGCAGACGTTCGTTTTGGTTTCTTCAGAAGAAAACCCTAATACACATCGCTGTCCCCATAATGAAAAAATATTATTGAATTGGGGAAGGAAGTTAAAGGTGATCTGTAGAAATTGAAGGTTTGAAGGCTGCCGATGCTGGCCTCCCTCCTTTCAATACCTCCCCCTCCCTGGCCTGTACATGCTGATCCAGTGGCATCAACTGAACTTGGGAATGAAGATGCGGAGTTTCTGAATGTTCTCCCCGATATTTCTGATCGGAATGTTTTATTTCCAAAAGTCTGTGACGTCAAAGCACTGAAGCCAAATACAGCCCCAGGAAAGTGGTAATTTTGGGGGGATTGGAAAATGGTTTCCTTTGTAGTCCCCAGCACAGGGCCGTCTGTCCATGACCCCGACCCTAAAATCTTGTAGAACCTATTGACTATTTCTGTATGAAGGTCTACAGATATTTTTTTAATTATCTAATAGAAAGAAACCATACCCTGGTGTGGTCAAAGGCCATAAACAT